TGGCAATTTTTGGGTGTTTTTGGGGGCGTTTTGGCGGATTTTGGGGATTTTGTTTTTAGTTTTTTTTGGGGGATTTTGGGATTTTTTTTGAGGTGTTTTTGGGGGATTTTGGGGATTTTTTTGAGATGTTTTTGGGGGGATTTTGGGGATTTTTTTGAGGTGATTTTGGGGTTTTTTGGGGGGGGATTTTGGACCTTTTTTGGGGGGATTTTGCGGATTTTTTTTGGAGATTATTTTGGGGATTTTTGGGGGATTTTGGCGATTTTTGGGTGGGCGTTTTGGCGGTTTTTGGAGCTTTTTTCGGAGATTATTTTGGCGATTTTTTTGCGGTTTTTTGGGGTTTTTCGGGTGGATTTTGGAGTTTTCCGGGGGGGGCTTCGGTGACGTCACCGGGGGTCCCTGATGACGTCAGTGATGACGTCAGCGATGACGTCACCCACCGAGAAGAGCATGTTCTTCTTGTCCTGGTTGACGGCGCGGGGGTCGGGCACCGGGTCCGTGTGCTTGATCACCGACACCGACTCGCCTGCGCCGGCGCAGACCGGTTCAGACCGGTTTGGACCAGTTCAAACCAGTACAAACCAGTATAAACCAGTTTAAACCATTATAAACCAGCATAAACCACTATAAACCACTATAAACCAGTATAAACCAGTATGAACCAGTACAAACCAGTATGAACCAGTCTGGGACGCAGCAAAGCCACCCTCAATTTCCACTGAGATCCCAGTATAAACCAGTACAAACCAGTTCAAACCAGTATAAACCAGTTTAAACCAGTATAAACCAGTAAAAACCAGTATAAACCAGTATAAACCAGCATAAACCACTATAAACTGCTATAAACCATTATAAACCAGTATAAACCAGTATAAACCAGTATAAACCACTATGGACCAGTATGAACCAGTCTGGGACACAGCAAAGCCACCCTCAATTTCCACTGAAATCCCAGTATGGACCAGTTTAAACCAGTATAAACCAGTTTAAACCACTATAAACCAGTTTAAACCAGTATAAACCAGTACGAACCAGTATAAAAATCCCCTTCAACCTCAGTTTCCCCCCGTTTTTAACCCTTTAATCCCCTCCCAGTCCCTCCCAGTCCCTCCCAGTTTGTCCCAGTCCCTCCCAGTCCCTCCCAGTTTGTCCCAGTCCCTCCCAGTTTGTCCCAGTTTGTCCCAGTCCGGTCCCAGCCCCCTCCCAGCCCAAACCAGTCCAAACCAGTACGAACCAGTAAGGATGGACTGGTCGACGCGCAGCGTGGTGGATTTGATGGAGATGATGCGGATGTCGGCCGGGACCTTGTCCCCAACTGGGAACGGAGCGGGGTCAAACTGGGACAAACTGGGACAGACTGGGACAAACTGGGAGGGACTGGGAGGGAACTGGGAGGAACTGGGATGGAACTGGGATGGAACTGGGTTATACTGGGAGGGACTGGGAGGAACTGGGAGGGAACTGGGATGGAACTGGGATGGAACTGGGATGGAACTGGGATGGAACTGGGTTATACTGGGAGGGACTGGGACAAACTGGGAGGGAACTGGGAGGGAACTGGGAGGGAACTGGGTTATACTGGGAGGGACTGGGAGGGAACTGGGTTATACTGGGAGGGAACTGGGATGGAACTGGGTTATACTGGGAGGGACTGGGACAAACTGGGAGGGAGTCAAAGGTTCTTTGTCACCCCAATGACCCTTGGGTGACCCCTGGGTGTCCCCAAGGTCCCCAAGGTCCCCGTGACCCCTGTGACCCCTGTGACCCCGGTGACCCCGGTGACCCCGGTGACCCCGGTGACCCCCGTGACCCCTGTGACCCCTGGGTGTCCCCAATGTCCCCATGACCCCGGTGACCCCTGGGTGTCCCCATGAACCCGGTGACCCCTGGATGTCCCCAATGACCCCATGACCCCTGTGACCCCAGTGACCCCGGTGACCCCTGGATGTCCCCAATGTCCCCATGACCCCATGACCCCTGTGACCCCTGGGTGTCCCCATGACCCCGGTGACCCCTGGGTGTCCCCATGACCCCGGTGACCCCTGGGTGTCCCTGATGTCCCTGGTGTCCACCTTGACCCTGATGTTCCTCAGCATCCTCCTGACCTCAATGTCCCCAAGGTCCCTTTAACCCCTGGATGTCCCCAATGTCCCCATGACCCCGGTGACCCCTGGGTGTCCCCATGACCCCTGTGACCCCAGTGACCCCTGGGTGTCCCCAATGTCCCCAATGTCCCCGTGACCCCGGTGACCCCTGGGTGTCCCCATGACCCCTGTGACCCCAGTGACCCCAGTGACCCCTGTGACCCCCGTGACCCCCGTGACCCCTGGGTGTCCGCAATGTCCCCATGACCCCGGTGACCCCTGGGTGTCCCCAAGGTCCCCAATGTCCCCATGACCCCGGTGACCCCTGTGACCCCGGTGACCCCTGGGTGTCCCCAATGTCCCCATGACCCCAGTGACCCTTGGGTGTCCCCAAGGTCCCCAATGTCCCCATGACCCCTGTGACCCCTGTGACCCCGGTGACCCCTGGGTGTCCCCAATGTCCCCATGACCCCAGTGACCCCTGGGTGTCCCCATGACCCCGGTGACCCCAATGCCCCCAATGACCCCTGGGTGACCCCCGTGACCCCTGGGTGTCCCCATGACCCCGGTGACCCCTGGGTGTCCCCAATGTCCCCCAATGTCCCCAATGTCCCCGATGTCCCTGGTGTCCACCTTGACCCTGATGTTCCTCAACGTCCTCCTGACCTCAATGTCCTCAATGTCCCTTTAGCCCCTGGATGTCCCCAATGTCCCCAATGTCCCTGATGTCCCCAATGTCCCGGTGACCCCTGGGTGTCCCCATGACCCCGGTGACCCCTGGGTGTCCCCATGACCCCGGTGACCCCGCTGTCACCTGCCACCTCGGCGATGTCCCCCGGGACGAGGTCGCGGGCCTTGATCCTCTGCACGGCCTTGCGGTCGCTGCGATAGACTTTGCCCATCTCGGGCTCGTACTCCTTCAGCGCCTCGATGGCGTTCTCGGCGTTCCGCTCCTGGGG